AAGGCTCTGGGTTGTGTTGTGAGCACATGAATTTTGAACTTTTGGTGATAGTATCTTGACTCTCTCCTGGGCTTGGGACACAGGGAGAAGCCCTTACTAGGTGGCCGTGGTTTTGCAGGCGTTGTGACGCCTGCATTACTAAGTCTGGCCACAGAGTAGCCTCATCAGCCAGGGCTGCCACTGACCTGTGGACTAAGGCACCTGGGGAGGTGAGCTCGGCTCTGAACCCTGAGCAGGCCTCACTTCTGACAGGAGGGTGTGTCTGGAGGGAGGCCGGTGTGGGGAGTGCATGTCCTGCTGCTGGTGAGCATGGCCGGTTGTCACTAAAGGCGTGGGGTGTCCCCCGTGTCTGGCAGGGATACAGAGCTGCGGCAGCGCAGGCAACTGTTCGAGGCTGGCCTCCACTCCTCCGCGCGCTACGGCAGCCATGACGGCAGCAGCACGGTGGCGGACGGGAAGAAAAAGCCTCGAAAGTGGCTGCAGTTGGAGACGTCAGAGAGGAGGTGTCAGATCTGCCAGCACCTGTGCTACCTGTCTATGGTGAGCCCACCTGGCACGGCCGGCGCCCTCGTGTGCAGTGCTTCGCCTGAGAGCTCCAGGGTTGCCCCCAGAAGAGGGAGGGTGCTCTCTGCACAGGAGACCTGCTGTGCTCCCATCTCTGGAGCTGGCTGTGGGACCTCAGCAGAGCTTCTGACCTCTGGAGGTGGCTGCGTCACCCGCAGTGACCAGGCCACACAGAGGCTGTCCCTCTACTCTGCCCACACGTGGCCCTCTCTCGGTCCCGCCGTGCCTCCTTCCTCCTTGGGGAGCAGGTGGCCTCCCTCCCCGCCCTACTTTGTCACCCCAGCCCCCACGCACTCTGCTCTTCATACTTTTTGAGACGGTCAGGGGCGGGTTTCCCACAGTGCTGGGCAGCGTCTGCCACCCCCCGCCCAGTAACCTGTGCTTGGTGGACTTGGGCCCATGGCCTCTGCCCTTTGGCTCTGTTCTTGGCTTCCTGGTTCTGCTCAGGTACATGATCTGCCTCAGCCCCCAAGGACTTGGGAATCTGTCCTTGCTGAAAGCTGATGCTCCCCCTGTCCCATCTGGGATCAGAGATGCTTTTCTGGCACAGCCACTCCAGGCTACAGCAGACTGCGTTCCTCTCGCCTTCTCGACTGTACCCTGCCAGCCTCCTTGTGACCACCTGCCTTCCCCAGCTTTGGGCTTAATAACAAACACTGCCTCCTCCCCTGCTTGCCCTGTCCTAGACCAGAGGTGGGCTCAGAAAAGCCCTTCCATGGCAACTGGACGGCTGTGGCCCTCACCATGCTTCTTCCAGTCCTCCCTTGACCTCTCAGCAGGCAGCTGTCCTGACACACTCTGGGCAGGGATGCCCAGCTGGCACTGCAAATGGCTCCACGCCCATACACACCTTAGCCTGGAACAGAGAGCATGCCCGACGGGCCTGACCTGCCTCCCTGGGCCTCTTCCCTTTCCACAGTGCCTCACTCCTCCAGTGCAGAAGCCTAGCTAGGAGGCGCCCACTCCATACGCTGTGGTGCCTGTGTCCCGCAGGTGTCCCCTCCAGCTGCACATTCCCCTAGGGGCCAGTGCCTCTGCGTCCCTGCTTGTCCACGGTCGGCCAGGACTGAGACCTGGGTCGACTCTCCTTGGCCTCCCAGTGTGACTGGGTCACGCTGCCTCACCCCAAGTCCTGGCGTGCCCCGTAGAAGAGGGAGGACACGGCCTCTCCCGGATAAGTCAGATCGGGGCTTTGTACCATTTGAAAGAGCTGACAACTCCGTGTGTCCTCGTCTCCTCCTTACCTAAGGACGCAACTCACGGTGTATCCGATAGGCCGCCTCATGGCCTCATTCGACCCGATTTACCTCTTTAGAGGCTCCACCCCTCCTGCAGTCACAGCTGAGGTCCTGGAGGTTCACGTTGGCATTTCATGGGGGACAAACGCAGTCCGTGACCACCCTGCCTCCCATCCTGTAGGTTTCCTTCTATCTGGTTTTTCCCCCAGACTTCTCAAAATGTATTACCTAGAGCCATTCTGTTCTTAAAATGATAAGCATTTTCCCAGATCTTCAAAGTACCTCATGAACATCACTGATAAAAGCTGCATAGCTTGGTGTGTTCTTTCTTTTCTTTTTTCCTTTTTTTTTTTTTTTTTTTGAGAACAGCTCTCGCTCTGTTGCCCCAGGCTTGAGTGCAGGTGGTGTATCCCTGTCTACTGGGAGCCTCAGCCCTCCCGAGTAAGCCGGGGAAGCCAGGTGTACCCGCCGACTCCCGCCGGCAACCTTTATTTTTGGTAGAGGTGGGTTGCCTGTTACCATAAGCTCCTAACTTCAGCCTCCAAGCCCTGGGATTCAGCGTGGGTCACGCGCCACTGCCCCATCCCCTGCTGGAACACTCCTATCATTGTCCATGTGTGTGAGGGCCGTAGGGTGTTACACCTGGGTGAAAGCTGGTCTGTCCATGTGAGGTGGCACCAGTGGCCCTCATTTGTTCAAGCCCATCCTCCCCAGAACTGCAGAGCTTTGTGCACGTGCATTTCCTGTCAGCCTGAAAGTTATTTTCAAAAGAATATATTGGATGCTGCATGAGGCTTAATCCCCAGTGTTCTAGGGGGCAAAGATGGGCAGATCACTCAAGGCCTGGAGTGCGAGACCAGCTTGGGTAACATAGTGAGACTCAATTTCTACAAAAAATACAAAAAATTAACTGGATGTGGTGGTGGGGGTATCACTTGAGCCCAGAAGTTCAAGGCTACAGTGAGCCTTTGTAGGCTGGGTGACAGTGACAACCTGTCTCTTTAGTTAAAAAAAAAAAGGCCAGGCACAGTGGCTTACACTTGTAATCCCAGCACTTTGGGAGGCCGAGGCGGGCCAGTCACAGCCTGGCCAACATGGTGAAACCCCGTCTCTACTAAAAATACAAAAAAATTAGCCGAGTGTGATGGCACGCACCTGGAGTCCCAGCTCCTCTGGAGGCAGTGGTTGCAGTGAGCCAAGACCGCGCTATTGCGCTCCAGCCCAGGTGACAGTGTGAGACTTCATCTTAAAATATATATATATAGATAGATAGATATAGATATAGATATATAAATCCATGGGCAAAAATTGGGGTCTGACTTGTGTTGACAGTTTGCATTGCTTGGATTACTAATACATTTGTAAATTGTATTAATTAGACGTGTTTCCTATTCTTCCTGTCCTTGGCCCCAAGTGTCTCTCCAAGGTCTTGTTTGTGTCAGTAGGAGGCATTCCCACACTCCTACAACATGTTCTCTGCTTCTCGCTTAGAAACACTGCAGCCGAAAACAAGTCCTTCCCTCAAGCTTTCTGAGAAAGGCCTGTGACCCTTCTGCCTCTTGAGTATTGAGACTGAATTTTTCCTTATTTTCAAACTCAGAATTAGAATAGTACTTGGAGTCAGCGTGAAGTATGGGAGCCCTCCCACAGAAGCCAGGTGGATAGGCCCGCAGTGAGGGTCTCTGTCCCAGCACTCTCCTGTGGCCATAGGCAGCAAGGCGTCCATAGCCGGTGGACAGCCCGCCCAGGGAGGCCGGGGCTGGTGGGTGAGCTGGTCCGCATTGCAGAGGTCAGGAATCTGTGATGTTGAGGGTGTCGGGGGAGTTTGCATGGGGTCGTTGGACGCCCCTTGCTCTGTTGACTGAGCCGCTCATGGACCACCATGAGAACCAGTTTTCCTGCTGGAAAGTCCAGGGCGTGTTCCCCGCGTGGCTGCCGGAGTTGGAGTCCTCCATGTTCCACATCTATGCCAGCACTAGGGTGGTTTCGAACCCAGGGTCTCAGCAGCCCTCAGAACTCAAGAGATTAGAAAATGTACCCCTCACTGTCTTTACCAGCCTGAACCTCTGGTGACTGAACCTCTCCCAGGAAACTCCAGCAGAAATCTGGAGGGGACGTGAGGGCCACCCCAGGTCTCACTCAGAGGTCGTCCGCTCCTCACTTTCCTAGTTGAAGACCATGTTTCAGGTGGTTTGTCGGTTTTCGTTTGAGTCCATCTCCAGTGTTTCCAGTCCTCAAAGCCCTTGGCCCGGGTGGTGGGTGCCAGGGCTGCTCTGGCTGGGTGTGCTCCCACTTTACCCTCCCAGGGCACTGTGGAGTTGTCTCCTGACCTCCGGGTGTCCTGCTCTTGCTTGCAGGTGGTACAAGAGAACGAAAACGTCGTGTTCTGTCTGGAGTGTGCTCTGCGCCACGTGGAGAAACAGAAGTCCTGCCGAGGGCTGAAGTTGATGTACCGCTATGATGAGGTCAGTCGCTGCCCGCGGGGTAGGGTGGGGCGGCAGTGTGGCGCCTTCCCTGGTCCTGGCTGGATGTAGGCCCTCTGGCCTGGCAGTTCTGTGCCTGGTGGGCAGCCAGGGCTCTGCAGGCCTGAGGTGTCCTGTTCTTAAGCCCTAAACCCACTCAGGCCCCACGTTAGGATCCCGAGGGGAGCAGGGCTCCTGCATGGGCCCGGAGTGCCGTGCATTTGGATTTCCGAGATGGGCTCTCACCAGGGCTGAGGCTCTTCCTGCAGCCTCACTGACTTTCCCAGGGGCTGCACCACTGTGGTTTAGAGCCAGACCCTTTTCTGTGGTGACCTGTCCCAGGCACAGTGGGATGGTTGGCAGTGGACTCTCCAATCTCCACTCACTCGACGCCAGCCCCTCCAGGCTGAGAGCGCTGGAAGTGTCTGCAGACGCTGGGGCAGGATGGGAAGTCCCAGTGCCGTCCTGCAGGCGCCAGCTCTTCTGGAGGGAGAGGTCGTAACAGTGCACAGCCTGTGCAGCTGGGGGCTGCCCTGAGTGGCGGAACTCCTGGCAGCAGTGCCTCTCCCCTGCTCTGCCCCACGTGTGCTTCCCCTGCTCTGCCCGCCTTCCCTGCGTGTGCTTCCCACAGACTCCGATGAGGCTGGTTACGAGGACGGTCACCACACTGTGGTCATTGCACAGTTGAGGCCACTGAGTGGGGCGGGTGCTGCGGGTCTGACTGTGTGGGGCCTGGTGCGTCTGGGGGCCCAAGCGGTGGGGCCAAGTGGTGGGTCTCACTCGATAAGCCTTGAGCTAAACGATTGGAGAGCTGGAAGAAGAACTCTTTGCATCTGTTTTGTTTCAAAGAGCATGCTGGGTGAAGGCAGTAAGCACCTGCTGTCCCTCCTTCACCTCAACAGCAAATGTCCAGGCACAGTCACAAACAACGAAGCCTTTGCGGCCGAGATGAGCATGGCTCTGGCACCTTGTGCAGTGCAGGTGCTGGCACGGGGAGGCTTCCTCTGGCTGCCTGGAAAGCGCTCTGTGGATCGTGCGTTGCGCCGCTCACCAGCAGCCTGTTTCTGTAGCCGCATGTCTGACGTGACCAGATCCTGGGAAAAGAATGGCATGCAGGGGCTAAGACCTAATGGTTGGTTTTGATGAATTAGGAGGAGCAAAGGTATTTAGAAACTGCATACTCTGCAGCGGCTGATGTAGTTCAGTAAGCAAGTCTGTGCCTCTGTCCCCTGTTGAGCTGTGCATTGTGTTTTGTTTTAGAGACGGAGTCTCACTCTGTTGCCCAGACTGGAGTGCAGTGGCGTGATCTCGGCTCACTGCAACCTCCGCCTCCTGGGTTCAAGCGATTCTCCTGCCTCAGCTAGGATTACAGGCATGTGCCACCATGCACCCGGCTAATTTTTCTTTTTAGTAGAGACAGGGTTTTACCATGTTGGTCAGGCTGGTCTCAAACTCCTGACCTCAGGTGATCTGCTCGCTTCGGCCTCCCAAAGTGCTGGGATTACAGGCGTGAGCCACCACATCTGACCCATTCTTTTAAATAGGAAATTTCTAGCTTGTAAACAGAGACCATTGCAAAATCTTGTTCTCAACCTCCCAGTGTGCCCAGCACACAAATCACCCATGGCTGTGCCTGCTGACCTGGGACAGTCTGCTTTAAACACCTACCTTTTGGGGGGTAAGGGACACACCTAGATTGCACATCCCTGAATTCATGGCTTGGGTTCTCATGGATGGTGAAGCTCTCTGGGGAGTTTGGAGCCATGTGTGCCTCCGGCCCTTGCAGGCTGGCTGAGCAGGGTCCAGTGAGCAGGGTGCTGGGCTGCCTGCTATTGCCAAGCCTGGCATGAGGGCACTGGTCTGGGGCAGGTGCTGTCCACCTGTTGAGCTGCATGCGGGGAGGGAACAGTGCCCTCCTGTAACCGCATGCAGCCGGCTCCTCCTCGCTCGTCCTTGTGGTAAGGTAGCTGTAGTCCCCTAAATGGGTGTTATGGCAGCTCAGCCACTTATTCCTTATCAGTGTTCATCATCAGTGCCTCAGGCCGCCATGTCTATGGTGTTATTACAGATACGTGCGCACCCCCCTTCCAAGGGCGCCTTTAACCTCTGATGGGAGCCAGCTGTCACTTCCTTACCCTTATCTTGGGGTCTTTCCAGAGGGCTAGAGATCAGGCCCTCAGATGTTTCATTCCATGGCCGGCTTCCTCTCCTGCCGGACTCAGCGTGGTTCCCAGCCACCCCTGGCCCAGAGAGATGCTTGTGAGATGCACGTTTGCTACTCCTCCCCATGTTCTTTTTAAAAATGAGATGATTATAGGATGTACTGTGTGAAAGTTACACACGCAGTTTTGGTGCCGACAGATAAATGATTCTCTTGGGTGAATTACAAGGATATCTATAGGTGACAAGTGTTTGCATTTGTTTGCATGACTAGGTTCAGTGGCTGGTAGCTAAAGTGAGTCAAGTAGCTTGGGTATTTGTGTCACCATCCAGGACGTAACAAAGCCCCCAGGTCTCTCTGCTGCGTGCTCCGTGGTGGAGGCAGTGCTCTGGGCTCCCCCTGCCAGCCCTGCCCTTATGAGCAGGCAAACCATGGTGGACCAGGGTATTGATGAGGATGAAAGGACCGTGCCTGCTATGTGGCGTCAGGAGGAGCTGGGAAAGGGAGACTCACTGCGTCTGAGCCTCTTGGGGACATTGTAAACGCTGTTGGTTGGTGTGAAGGGGACGGCTACGCCGCTGCCCTCTGCCCTAAACCTGCCCCTGCGTGGCTGTGAGGGTCAGAGCTCTTGTTAATACGGTATGCTAATTGTTAATATGGTATGTTAATTGTTAATATGGTATGCTAATTGTGCCTTCCTTTCACCCCCAAACAGGAACAGATTATCAGTCTGGTCAATCAGATCTGCGGCAAAGTGTCTGGTAAAAACGGCAGCATTGAGAACTGTCTCAGTAAACCCACACCAAAAAGAGGTCCCCGCAAGAGAGCGACAGTGGACGTGCCCCCCTCCCGGCTGTCAGCCTCCGGTTCATCCAAAAGTGCTTCGAGCTCATCATGAAGATGCCAACGCCCGTGGTCGATTTATATATATTTTTTTGTAATTATTATATTCTAGTTTGGAGTACTTGCTGTAGGATTGAAGCTGTCTTTGCACTAGCTCTAAAGAAGATTTTCTTCTGGTTTTAGAGAACTAATTTTGTTTTAGCATTAAACTGTTGAACTTTTTTTTGTACTTAGAAAACCTAGATACTGCAGTCAGATTTTGGAAACTGCCGTATAGTCACTGTTTTAAAAACCCTGCAGGGGCTGTATTAATTTGTATTGCCCCATGGCTGACAAAAGCCTTTTTTTGTTGTTGTTTTGATTTTTTTTTTTTTTTTTGTAACTGTTGGGGAAAAAAAGGCTTTTTAACCCATTTTTGAAGAGGGTGAAGTTTGGAGAACAAATTTAAAAACCATCAGTCACGTGAGCAGAGTTTTTAGAAGGGATAGGAGACGCGCGCGCGCACACACACACACACACACACACACACACACACAAAACTTGAAATGGCTTTGCTTTGGCTGTCGTCTTCTGCCGTGTGCCAGATGAGCTTGTGATCTGGGAAGCCGGGGCACCCCCGTTTTGTTTCTCTGGGCGGTTGTGGCAGCTGAAGGCGGACGTTGTTTCCTAACCATAGGCGGAACGAGGAGACGGGAGCGAGTGGGCTCTCCACCAGCACATCACTATGCATCTGTTCAAGGAAAGAAGAAAAGCGAGCGAGGAAGACGGAAAAGACTGCCTGCCTCGGAGGGGTCACATGAGGGAGACCTGTGCCTGATTTCATTAGGAAATCCATTCTGTTATTTTTTGGTGCTGTTGGCTACTTTATCAAAAAACCCTTCAATAGCATCCTTAAGATTTAAAAAAAAAAGAAAAAAAAAACGGAAAAAAGTGATGGAAGCCGTAAGTGCTTCTTTGTCATCGACGTGCAATCTTCCTTATCAGTGTTCATCATCAGTGCCTCAGGCCGCCATGTCTATGGTGTTATTACAGATACGTGCGCACCCCCCTTCCAAGGGCGCCTTTAACGTCTGATGGGAGCCAGCTGTCACTTCCT